AATAATAATAATAATAATAATAATAATAATAATAATAATAATAATAATAATAATAATAATAATAATAATAATAATAATAATAATAATAATAATAATAATAATAATAATAATAATAATAATAATAATAATAATAATAATAATAATAATAATAATAATAATAATAATAATAATAATAATAATAATAATAATAATAATAATAATAATAATAATAATAATAATAATAATAATAATAATAATAATAATAATAATAATAATAATAATAATAATAATAATAATAAATGATAACAATTATGGGATGATTTAATCATCTAATTACCATTGCAATTTAATTTAATTAATTGTCTGATTATTACTGTAAAATTATAACATAAAACAAACCAACAGATGAATCCAACAAGACAAAATCATTTGTCGATTGAATGTTGAAAAAACAATTTAAATGATTTGAAATGTTAGTTTTGTAAAATATTTCGTCCAAAATGTTAAATGGGTTAAAATCAAATGTTTTGATAGTAAATTGGAAGCATTTTGTCAACAAAATTCATCGAACACTATCATTGAGTTGTTTTATTTCCGTCTTTTGTTTTTTGGAAAATTCAAAAACAATGATTTAATCGATTGCTTCTTTCGATCTTCCAATTAAGAGAAAAAGAAGACGGCAAAAAAAAAGCGTCACGTTGTCAAACACATTTTGAGATGAAGAAAGAGGAAAAAAATAAGAAGCGACATGTGACATTATTTTCCAATTAACAAGTTATTTCACTAATCGTTTTTGACAGTAACTGTATTTACTTTTTTTTTTACTTTTTATTATCAAATTTCTTCTTAATTGCTAATTTAATTTTAAAAATTAAATGTTTTTGTGGCATAATTATTTGTAATTTATGCTTTTTAGCATTTTTTTAATTTCGGATGAATCATGGAAGGATTGTTATTTTACGAATATTTTAAAAAAGTCAAAAAGATTTTATCACATTTTGATTATCAAAATTAAATGATTGAAATAATTGGTAGTGCAATAAATTGAATGATTTGAATTAATTTAATAACAAATGATGATTGAACTGAATAATGATTAGTATGATAACTGGATGATAATAATGATTAATAGTGAATAATAATCACTTTTTCAAAGAAGAAATTATCACTACCTAATGATTTAATTTAATTTCAAATTTAATTAAATCAATTCATTTCAAATTTGATATACATCATTCACTTTTTTTCCTTTTTCTTTTTTGCTATTTTTTTATTTATTTACTTGCTTTTTATGAACTATCTTTTGTGATAAATTACGACAGAGTACTTTGATATTTATAAAATGCATTTCTTAAATAAACTTTTCTATATTCTTCATCATTCCATCTATCTATCTATCTATCTATCTATCTATCTATCTATCTATCTATCTATCTATCTATATATTCAGGATTTCTTATTCGACTGATTCGATCGATTAGTTATTGTTCATGTCGCAATCTATTCAATCATAATTCCAATTTCTTCACTGATAATTTTGATATTACCTATTTATCTATTACAGAAATTTCTCTTTGATATCATCATTCTTTCCTATTTTAAAATAATATTTCCATTTTCTTCCATCTTTATATTAATCATTTTGTTTGTTTTTACAGAAAAATTATGCATCTTCTATATTTGTTAATGTAAGTATATTTTAATTATCTTCATTAATGAATAACTCTTTATTAACTTGTAATCTTTTTCATTTTGATTTTTTTTTTTTTTTGAAATTAATTTTTTTCATTTCGATAATTTTGCACTAATTGTTTTTGTTTTGATAAATTTGTGTTAGGATTGAAAAACTTTCATTACATTATAACTAATAGTAATGATGTACAACGATAAAATTGTTGATATTTAAGTAAATCATTACAATTTTCCATCGTTTGGAAAATTGTAACAATGTTGAAATTGTAAAAGTTTATAAATTTTTTTTTTGGCATTCATTTTGCTGTGGAATATAATGTACTTAATTATTTGTAAAATTTTGAATGAAAATTCGCATAAACCATATCAAATGTTAGATTAATTATCATTTCAGGAACAATAAAATTGTCCCCCTTTAAGTTATATCTTCAAAAGCTTTTCATTTCTCTTTCCTTAAATGCAATATATCTCAGCTGTTTTATCATATTACAACAACACTTATCGCAGTCTTCATCGTGCGTTATCAATAGTTATCAGATAAGATTTCACTTGTTTTTTCTGTTACTCAAAAATATGTTTTGCATTGTTTGAGCTGAGCTATTTCATATTGGAATGTAATCGAAGACAATTGTGGCTGTGTGATTTTGGGATTTTGGCGGTTCTTGTTCGCACTACACTTATTCAGGTCTAGGCAAAAGATGGGGTGGTGTTGGAGGTGGTTAATTCCATGTAGTAATTCTAGCATCTTAGGTGTGCATAATAAGTAGTTGCGCACAGGTAGATGATTGAAATGAATAGTCATGCAATAAGAAAATGAAATTGAAATTTTTTCCAATTAATATAAACCTGACCTTTCTACTGGTTGAGGTTCCGTCTTTTTCTGTTTTTTTTTTTAAATAATTCTATTGTAAGCCAATAGATTGTTTGATTTCTTTTACAAAGAACGAGCATAATTTCTGTTTAATATACGTCCAAGATTTGATCAAAGTAATTTGCTTAAAATTTCAAATGTGATTTTTTTTTAAATAAATAT